TTAAAAAGATAGTATTATTTCTTTCCGGCAACGAACGAGACCGAGCCGAAGGCGAGTGTCGAGAGAGGCGCAGTGTCGTTCAGTGTTGTGTTGCCGCAATTACGTGAGTAACGCTTCATCACGCTCCCCAGCAATCCGAGTCACGCTCCCTAGGCGCGTCGGTCGGATATGGGTATCCTGCTCATGATCACTAACCAAGAAAGTACAAAAAATTAAAACAGTCCCCTGCACAAGCCTGTGCGTCAGTTCGGCAGCGAAAATGTACTCGGACCATGGTGCATGCTCTTCTGTTCATTGCCAAGAGAAACGCGGCGGACGGAACCCACATCGGTACCGTAAAGGCGGACAAGTACCGCTGTGGGCGGCTTCTGTATTTTCGAGCAAGGAAGCGCTCACACCCCTGTTAGCAGGATCGACGCCGGCTGCAGTTTGGCGAAGCGGAAAGTCGCAGGCTTGCGCTTTGGTGTGTTGTGCAAAAACTGGCAGGCATTCTGTGCATCAATTCCCAATCAATCACCTCGCCTAGAATTTCGCACTCGCATTCACACATCACTTTGGGCAACCACATGCAGTTCTCTTCCGTGACCATAACCCTACCCTGGTCGATACAAGCTGCTGCAGGTGGCATGTCATGCAAAGTACTCTATACATACGATGCTAACGAAAAAGAGATCGATCACTTTTGTCTGAGATGCGCGTGCACACGAGCTGCACTGGCTGTCCTCTTCATCATCGTCCCATCTCGTTAGCATCTCATCTCACGTATCTGACCTTGCTTCCCACCTGCACCTGCGCCTGCAATTGCCGATTACTGCTCGCTCGCGCGGGGCGACGGCAAACAACGCCGGAGCGCTGCATGTGCATTTGCATCTTGCATGTATCGTTTTTGTCGTACCCGTCTCGCACCACTCACATCTTGTGCCTCTTTCTTGTACCTAACGTTGACACTAGCTGCGCCGAGGCCGATGTGGTTGTTTGATCGCATAGCTGCATACACAAGTACCTGTATGTGCCTTCGGCAACGGGGAAAGTCACTTTTCCACGTAGACGCATACCTTTGTACAGTTGTGCGTTGTACTGTGCAGTAGTACTCTAGCGTTGAACGTTGGCGTCTTTTCAATGCACATGCCGAAGTCCACCACTAGACTAGCAAAAAACTCAACAGTTTTCTCTGCCGTGTGCCAACAATTTCATGTTCGTCGTAATTTAGGCTTTTGCAAAAATCTCCGTGCAAGCGTGTCTATCATCATCGGTAGAGGGTGAATCGCAACTGCGATGGAAGCAGGTCGTACACGTCACGCCAATTCTCATCAGCCATCGTGCTTGGGCGCGAGGCGTGGGGAAAAAAGAATCGGTCGGGCTCATCAATACGCGTATGTGTACGTCTGCGGTACAGCAAAAATACCTTGCGCGTGAGAGATCGTCTGGTTGTTGACAAGGATTCCG